ATAATGAATACAGACAAAAGCACGAAACATGATAGCTGTCTGTACTATCTCTAGTTTTCCTTTTTGAAAGAAGTTACGCTGGAGTTCTCTCTGGAGACCTCGAGGATAAAAGTTGAATTGTTATGAATCGAGTTGGTCATCCGAGCACTTTTCGCTCAGGGATCCGATTCTTAACTGTAAAATCCTGAGTGGCTCTACTTTATTAACCTCTCATTAAAGGAAGAAGGACACCCGGCCGGACGGGGTTCTAGGATAGACGATCCCCTCCCGGCTCTGGTTCCCATGAGAGCCACCGCTAATAACGATGTAATTTCACGACGAGTATTCATGAATTGTTCCGACGGCTGAATAACAACGAACCTCGTACTAATTGCGAGAGAGGCCCGTAATTTTCGCACATGGCGGTTTTTCCTTTACGAAGAGGGGAAAAGGTCCGGGAGAAAATCCTAAGGACCGCTTGATAATAAAATAAAATCCAAGGGAAGAGCCTACTTCTTGATATATTATGACAGTATGATTTATAATGGCCAAGTTTAAAAACAGACAAAAGAATTAAAACTAATGAGAAGTTTCTTTCAATTTGATTACCTAAGATGTGGTTCGACCCAGATATAATTTCCGACCCAAGATCCTTTGACAGGATAACACAAGTACGATTACTTCCACTTTCCCTCTTTAACATTTTAGTAACATTTCAGGAAATTTACTTCCAAGAAGATATTTTCATATTTAATCGTGATGTACATACGAATCACCCTCAGTTATTCGTAAACAAATACATTTTAAGGTTACAACATAGGGTTTATGCTGGAAAAATACATTTAAAGAAGAAAAAAATCGCATAGTAACGATTTGATAGAATAAAAACCTTGTTATCAGGATTTAATGAGCTTCTACTTCTAAAAGTTTTTTTATTAGAGAACCACTTTGGAATATTAACAATCAAATAACATTGAAAACATCGTGTGAAATGTCTTTTGTTGAATAATTATCTAAACAAAATATATTAGGATACTTAGGATTGGAAGATATAAAACATTTTATAACAGGGGTTTTATGAGATCCTGTCCCTGGAATTTGGATGTTCATAAGAAACAATCCTGGTTATTGACGGAGAAATACATTTTAAATATACGTACATTAGGTTTATGCTGGAAAAATACATTAAGAATTATAAAAGATTTGCCCAGTAATGATTTGATAATAGAAAATTTTTGATAACAGGATTTCATGAGTTTGTGATCCCTAAAAGATTATCACTCTTCGATATTTGCAATTATAAAGCTTTGAAAACATTGTTTGTTAGTTTTTTGGTGAAGAGCTATCTAAAAACATTATAGTTGGACATTTAAGATTCGAAGATATCAACGATCTTTATAACAGTGGTGTCATGAGCTCCTGTCCATGGTATTATGTTGTACATAAGGAACACTCTTGGCGGCTGATAGACAAACCACATTTCAATAATTCAACATTGGGTTTATTCTGGAAAAATTAATTTAGAAGAAGAAAAAATCTGCATAATAACGATTTAATAGAAAAACCTTATCATCAAGATTTAATGAGCTTCTACTCCTAAAAGTTGATCGAAAGATCATTTTTGGATATTTAGAATTATAAAAAATTGAAATCATTGTGTGTAAGATCACATGCTAAAGAACCAACTAAATATAATAAATACATTTCGACATTTAAGATTCCAAGATATCAAAAATATTTATACTAGGTGAGCTCCTGTCCCTGAAATTGTGATTTACATGAGGAAACACTTTGGGTTACTGACAGACAAATACATTTCGATAATTGAAACACTGGGTTTGTGCTGAAAACATACATTTCGAAAGGGAAAATACATGCTAAGATTTCAAAACATCTGAAACTTTTATAACAAGGGTTTCATAAGCTCCTGTTCCTGGAGTCTCGATTAAAAAAAACTCTTAAGTATTAACATACAAATACATTTTAATAATTCAACAGCCAGTTTATCTTGTGAAAATTTATTTAGTATAAGAAAAATCTACATAGTAATGATTAGTTAATAGAAAACCTCGGTATCAGGAGTTTTATGAGCTCCTATCCCTGGGGTTGTGGTCTAAATGACTTTTGCATATTAACAATCACTCAGACTTACTGTTTAAATATAACTTTGTTTTATTATGCTGAGAAAATGCATTTATGAAGAGAAAAGGCGATATAAAATGTGGTGATATAAATAATACTTTCAAGATCAAAAACATCGGTAACAGGAGTTACATAAGTTGGTTTCGTGCTAGGAAAATACATTTAGGGAGGTAAAATATTCGCAAGGTGTAATTTTAAGGTCAAAAACTGGAGTTGATTTATTATAAAGTCATCCAATTACATATTTGCAATTATATAACGTTGAAAACATTGTTTGAAAGGTTTTATGTTAAAAATAAAATTATTTTAAAAATATCAAAAACGGCGTTTCATGAGCTCCTGTTCCTGGAATTGTAGTTTAAATAAGAAATTCGGACAATTACATATTAATTAATAATACAACATTCGATTTATGCTGAGATGGATAGTTTAGAAAGATAAAAACAGTTCAGGGTGATCAATTGAAAATAGAAATTAGGACAGGGGCTTTATCGATAACTCCTATGCTGGACATTTTATTTTTAAAAAAACACTCGTGGGTATTGGCACTCAAACAGACTTAAAGTGTGTCACGTTGGGTTTTTTTATCTTAGAAACGAGTTTAGGAAAGGAAAAACATGGAAAATGCAGATTTGATGATTACAAAAAGCGTGGTCTTGAGAGTTTCATCATTTTCCTGTTCCAGGAATATAATTAGCAGAACAATGTTCTTATAAATCGACAACCAAAATGATCTATAGTATGTGACATTTATTTTATGCTAAGATAATTACATTAATAGGAGAAAATGGATGTATAGTGAAAATTTCAAGATACCTAAAGGTTTGGTGAAGTTACATGAGCTTCTTTCATGATCCTGGAGTTTTGGCACACAATGGGGCCTAACTATATAATCCCGAAAACATTCTTTACAAATTCCTACAAAGTCTCAACGGACTATAAAGGAGAGGAAGAACTCAGGAGTGCATCAGATACAATGATATTATGGTACACAGATGGCTACAAAACAAACGAAGGAACCTGATCAGGCGTTTTCTGAACAAGCCCAAAATATGAGCAATCAAACTCATTAGGGAAGTACACTTCGGTCTTTCAAGCAGAAATACATGCCATCTGTGCTTGTGCCCCGGAAAATCATGATGATGTTTCACTGGCAAAAATCCTCATAAGATCTGATAACAAGCAGCCATTAAAGCATTAGCACGTAAAAGAAACACATGAAAATTAGTCAGTGAGTATATCCAAAATCTCCAAAGCCTGGGGACACGGAACAACCTGATGATATCTTGTGTGCCTGTGCACAGGGGAATTTTGGGTAGTGAGAAAGCAGACAGACTGGCCAGAGGAGGATCTGCAAGATCATACATAGGCCCCGAACCTATACTTAGGATAACAAAAACAAATATAGAATTCTCCATCGCAGAATGGATCCAAACAAAACAAAAGGACAATAAACTTATGATGAAACAACCTTCACCAAGACTGGCAAAAGCATTGCTGCAATTGGAGAGAGCCAAACTGAGAGGAGTGGTAGGACTACTAACCGGTCACTGGCATCTGAGAAAACATCCTCTCAACATGGGTATATACAACGATGATCCCATTTGCATATTATGTAATGAGAAGGAGGAAACAGCCACCTATAACTTCTTCGAATGTGAAGCAACAGCTCAATGGAGATTTAACCTAACGTATGGAAAAAACTTAGGGAATCAAACTGCAGCAGGGACAGTCAATAGTTAGTCTGATAGTTCTAAGGAGAAGGACTGAGTCTATTGCACTGAACTAAGGAACTAGGAAGGTATAATCAGCCAAAATGCTGCAGTGCCTGGGGAGCGCAAACCCTAGTATAGTCCTAGTATCCTTTTTACCATATCATACCATACCATTTGGCACACAAGAAAATAGCTGTTGGGTTGATAAACAATTTATAAAATAAGAAAAATACACATTAGAAGTAGAGAAAAAAATGTATTGAGATTTGATTTGAAAATGTAAAAACCTATATCGTGATAAGAACATCTAAAGCATGGACGAAGTTAATAAACTTACTGTTTTGCCTCGTCTCAAATAGAGAAATATTGTTATTATTAAAATATTGAACGGTAAATTAAAGGTCATAAAGGGTTAAAATTAACTCTGACACCAGGTTATTGCGAAATTCGGGATGAGGTATCATTTTTAGCATTTTTCCTTTCTCTTGAGGGGGAGAGACTGGTTGTTGACGGATATCTCGCAGAGGAGACGACCTACAAAACAGGGACCAGGTACGAAGACAGTTCCCTCTCCCCCGCAGGAGGCCTTCCTAAGACCCTCCTAACTTCACACACACACACAGATAAAACTGACCGGTCGTCAAAATCTGGACCAAGTTCAGCAACCTTTCCTGGCCGACGGCCAACCGCGGAAATGTCCTCGCGGAAGCATGCGGTGGTGTCGGAGCGCTAAGCCCTTTCTGAGGGGGGCTTTTATTACCCCCCCTCTAAGACCCCTTTTTGGGGCTTTAAACCAATTTTCTAAACCAGAGGAGGTGGGCTACGAAAATTAAAAAATTACTCTACCCTTCTGTTCCCTCTCGACTTCTGGGTCAATGTGTCGATGGAATTTTTCTCTCCTTGTCATAATGAGTTGTTTTTTTAATCAACCTTCTTCATTCTACTAAATAATTTATAAACAAATATCTTAATTATTGATAAAATGACTTCATTTTGACATTATTTAACACCTTCTGAAAGATCAAGAAAGAGAAAAAACGACTACTGTCTAATGGTGTAATATGGTACATGCATTGATACTCTTTTCTTTTTTCGTTTTATCGATGTTTACACTTTATTGTGCTTTTTTGGTAGTCTTGTGGATGATATTCGTCCTGGCTTTAGGTGGCGAGTGTGGCGATAGGCGTAAGGAGGTCGGCGGTGGTGATGCCGTTTTGCCGACGTCCAAACCGGGTTCAGATGCTATGCTGCCGGTCACTGCCTCTTCTGACATCGAGGACCTGATCCACCTTCGTGGCCCATTGACAGAAGATGCCCTCCTCAAGGCGCTGGCTGCCAGATTCCACGCCAATCACACATACGTAAGCCGACACTTTCTTCTCCTGGCCTTCAAAATACGTTTATATACGTTTGTATATGTTTCAGACGAACGTCGGCCCGATTTTAGTCTCGGTCAACGGATACACAGACGTGAGCAACCCGCTGACCCTCAGCAGCACGAGGAGTGTGGTCCTAAGTCCAAAACTTCTACGAGTCGTCCAAGAAGCGGTCAGACACCAATCAGAATCCGGTTACCCTCAAGCCATCATTCTATCAGGTATTTTCCGAACATTTAAAACTCTTTAGCAAATCTTGTGTTTTTCCGTTATAATCCTCCAACTTTACAGGAACGAGCGGTTCTGGAAAAACATACGCTTCCATGCTTCTTCTCCGCCAATTGTTCGAAGTTGCCGGAGGTGGCCCTGAGACCGACGCTTTCAAACATTTAGCCGCTGCTTTTACGGTTTTGAGATCCCTCGGCTCTGCTAAAACAACGTCCAATTCTGAATCGAGCCGAATAGTAAGTTATTTGTCTTTTTTACATCAAAATCATTGTGATACAATTGTCTTTTTTCAGGGGCATTTCATCGAAGTACAAGTGACAGACGGTGCGTTGTACAGGACGAAGATTCACTGTTATTTCCTGGACCAGACTAGGGTGATAAGGCCGTTGAACAACGAGAAGAACTACCACATATTCTACCAGATGCTGGCCGGTCTGACGCCGGAGGAGAGGTCAAAGTTGAACCTCGAAGGTTACAACTTGCACAATCTGTGCTATTTGAAGTGTGGAGACACGAGGCAGGACGAGGCGGAGGACGCGACGAGATTCCAGGCCTGGAAAACCTGCCTAGGCGTTTTGGGCATCCCGTTTTTGGACGTGGTTCGGGTTCTGGCTGCCGTCTTGTTGCTCGGGAACATACTTTTTGTCGATTCGGGAAGCGTCGAAGCCTCGGTCAAAGGGGAAGCAGAGCTTAACGCTGTCGCGGGTCTTCTCGGAGTGTCGCCCGCGTCTCTTCTCCGTGGGATCACCTCGAGGACGCACAACGCGAGAGGGCAGATCGTCAAAAGTTACTGCCAGGCCAACATGGCCAATATGATCAGGGATTCCCTAGCGAAAGCCCTTTACTGCAGGACAGTCGCGACTATCGTCAGGAGGGCGAACAGTCTCAAAAGGCTCGGGTCAACTTTAGGCACCTTGAGCAGCGACTCGAACGAATCCGTGCACAACCAAGCAGAAGTGGCGAGTCAGCACGCTTCGACCATCGGCACTGCTGGGTCCAAGTCCAGCAAATCGATGGCAGCCCTGAACAATGCGGTGAAACATGCTACAGACGGATTCATCGGCATACTCGATATGTTCGGCTTCGAAGAACCCAAGGTGACTAGGATAAAACTATAATCCCTTGAATCATAACATTCTAACAAAAATTTGTTTTAGCCTTCCCACTTGGAACACCTCTGCATAAATCTATGCGCTGAGACCATGCAACACTTTTACAACACGCATATTTTTAAATCAAGCATTGAGAGTTGTCGCGATGAAGGGATACACTCGGATGTCGAAGTGGACTATGTTGACAATGTGCCATGCATTGATTTAATCTCCTCATTGGTAAAAAAAAGCTACCATCTGATTTAACAGAAACATTTTAATCCTTTAATTATTTTCAGAGAACGGGATTGTTGTCCATGTTGGACGTAGAGTGTTCAGTAAGAGGATCCGCAGAAAGTTACATAACGAAGGTCAAAGCTCAGCACAGGCATAATCCAAGATTGTTCGAACCGAAACCACTTGAACCAAGAGCTTTCGGCATACAGCATTTCGCCGGTCGTGTCATCTACGACGCGACAGATTTCTTAGACACGAACCGCGATGTGGTGCCTGACGATCTTGTTGCAGTGTTTCACAAGCAGAATTGCAATTTCGGCTTCGCCACGCACCTTTTTGGCAGTGAGCTTAAAGCGCTCTACTCTTCGGAGACCGTTCCTAGAGGCGTGAGCTTCAGGATCTCACCAACGTCGCATTCCGACTTGCTGAACGGCGATGAACCCGTTTCGACCTTGACTCAAGACTTCCACACGCGTCTCGACAACCTCCTGAGGACACTGGTCCACGCCAGGCCTCACTTTGTTCGCTGCATAAGAGCCAATGCGACCGAAACACCTAGGCGATTCGACCGAGCAGTCGTCATGAAGCAAATCCGTTCTTTACAAGTTTTAGAAACTGTCAATTTAATGGCTGGAGGTGATTAAATTATATATAATTTTTGGTTTAAGTAATTAATTTTTTTGTGTTTTTAAAGGTTTTCCTCATAGAATGAGGTTCAAAGCATTTTTATCGAGGTATAGAGTTCTTGCTGGTCATGGCACTTTGAGAAGATGTGAAGAAAATGCCGTAGAGGATTGTCAGATTATCTTACAATCCTTGGAAAACAAACAAACAAGGCCTGGGCTTGTTGTAAGCTGGGCTTTTGGAAAACGACACATTTTTCTCAGGTATAGATTGAAAATAAGTCAACGGCCATTGGTCATTTTGGTTCTTACAATTATCTCCGTTTTTAATAGCGAGGGGCTTCGGCAAGAACTGGAAAGTGTGAGATGGGAGACGTTACATAAAGCCGCTGTCACGGTACAGTCGACATTCAGGGCATACCAGGCTCGTAAACGTTGGCCAGCTCTCAAAAGGACCCTCCAGCAGACTTCGACGAATATACATCACACTCCACAGCCGCCTCCTTCAAAAGGTACGATTTTTTCTTCTTTTTCTAAAGCTAAACTGAAATGATAAATCCTCAGGCGGAGCGAGACCACCGATCAGCCTCCTATCGGGCTCGACGCTCACAAGACCTCGGCCCCAGCCCATCGCAGGCACCCCGCCACCCGATCCCAACGAGAAGTGCGACCACAAAATCATTCAACAGACTTGCACACTCTTCGGCCTCGATCTTGTAAGTTGTGTAAGTAAGCACCAATGGATTAGATGAACTTGAAAATATTCGTTTGCAGGAGAGGCCACCACCGGTACCGCCAAGCAGGCATTACACAGTGGCTGGAAACACAAAAATGGGCTATCCGCAGACTCGTATAATGAAAATGCCATTTCCAGGTTAGTCACTTCAATAATTGTCTGTTTATAGATAATCTTCAAAAGGATTGTCAGCTTTAAAACAGCTGCGTTATTGGATTATTTTGTTAAAATCTTAAAATTTGTTAAGCACATTTATTGACCTTAGATGGCTTGTTTGAATTCATATGCAAACACTCTGGATCAAGGTATGGTCTTGAAGAAGAGAACAAATTCAGTTGTTACTGCCAAGCTTTCGACCTGTTTTAAGGTCATCACGGCAAACCAATTGTACTGGGCCAGGACATTACAGTCCTTAGGATTGAGTCTTCAAGGAAATTTGAGATCGCATTTAAAAAAACTTAAATATGTCAATCTGTAGACAAATTTAAAGTTATTTTTCCTCAAACCTTAAAATAATCGAAAGCTTGGCAGTAGCAACTGAATTTGCTTTCTAATTCAAGACCATACTTGATCCAGTGTCGTGAGCGAAAAAGTGATCGATATTTCTAATGCTGAATTTATATAATAAGCAAGCTATTTATACTTTTAAAATATTTATTGTTACAGAAGATGGAAGCGGTGATGTGTCACTTTTGAAAGGAGATACGGTGACGGTTGTCGGCGCTTCGCCACGGAGAGGTCACTTGGTGGTCGAGCACTGCAACCACAATCTTCACGTCCCGTTTCAGTTTCTCGAGTTGAAGTCCTCTCCTCTGTCTATATGAGCTTACTTGTTTGTGAATTCATTCCTGTTGATCAAGTCGATGTGTGCGGTGTAGTCTTCCGTCCTGTTCACCACTTCCCTGAGCCCTGTGGGCAACTCTTTGACGATGTCGTGGATGTCGTCCATGGTCACGTACTCCTGCGAAGAGGTCGCCTTGGCTTTCTTCTTTTCCTTATCCCTCGTCAACGCTTTGTAAAAAGCGTACATGCCCCTCGTTACGTCGACATTGTTGAAAGTTTTAATGGAGGGCATCGCCATGACCATCTTGCCCTTGTAGTTTCTAAGCGTACAGATAGGATTAAACTCACAGGCTATAGTGTGAAGCGATGTCATTTTTTCAAGAGAAGAACAAACTTCATCGATCTCGTTCAGTTTGTTACAAGAGATGTCGAGCTCCTCCAGGGAAGTCAGCTTTTCGAGTTCTTTCATGCTGGATATGGAATTCCCGGGGCAGTTAAGCACCAGGAGACATTCAGCCAGAGCTTCGATCGAACGAGGGTCGAAAATCATCTTCTCGGTCGGTTCCAACCTCTGGGTGCCTATGTGCAATTCCTCGAGCTCTCGACAATTTTCGAGATTCTCAACGACCGATATCGAGTTGCTGCCGAGGTAGAGCTTCTCGAGGCAGACCAGGTTCTGAAAGCCGTCCATAAAAACGATGTCATTGTTCTGAAGGTAGAGATGCGTCAGACGGGAGAACTGCTTCAGATTCGATATGTCGCTCAACTTATTGTCTTGCAAAAACAGTACGTTTGCGTTTCTGCAGAGTATCGCTTCGCCTATGGCCTTGATGTTTTTCTTGTTCAATTTTATATGTGACTTGCTCCTTATCGACTGACACTTTTCGATAAAATCGTCCGTGTTCACCTCCAAATTTACACTCTTCAGTACAAAATCGTCGTCGAGAATCATTTTAACACTATTGACAAAGAAAACCTCTGATACGGTAACTATGGTAAATAACAAACATATGGTTTCTACAACATCGTGCAATAAGAACAATCCTAAATGTGCCAATGTAAATACAAATTTTTTTTAACAATTAGCAAAGCTCAAAAAAATATTGTAAATATTTGTGTTCTGTCTAGTAAATAAGTCTTAGGATCTCCCATGTAAATATAATCTTAAAAAATTTTTTTAGCAGAATAAAAAAATATTAAAGTTCTTGCCAGTATTTTGTTCTCTGTAAATAAGATTTATTATCTATTAATTTTTTTTTTTTTAATAATTTGCTTTATTTTACACTTATAAATTTGTGTTTTAGAAAACACTGTGCCAAGAGGGAAAGAGATTTTGTTAGAGATTTTTAGGTTTTATTAGTATATTATTTGCCATTACAAAAATAAACTTACACCATTAAAAAATGTTGTGTTTTTGTCATTTTTTTATATAAGTGTTTTGAGAAATTTAGATAAATAAAGATTTTTTATATAAATAATTTTATTTTTCAGTTCCTTTCTCTTTAACCAACACCCTGTAAAATGTATTAAAGAATATAAGGTTTAATAAATCCATAAAAAACAATGAGATGAACAATAAATAACCGACAATAAAATAATAAATGAAATGAGGCTTGCAGCAACTACCTGAACAAGCTTACACAGAAGCTCCATCAAGCAAAGGGACTTTCTGGTTTCTTGTACTTTTCCTAGTTCCTAGTTCAGTTCAATTCACTCTATCATTCTTCTAAGAGGTAGTAGGATGTTTGTGGGTTTCTTTTACCAGATCTTTTGGTACTCTAAGTTATGTCTACATTGAGTGGTTGAATAATGGTGCACGATGATGATGAGGATACTAGGAAGCAGGGTTTTAATATTATCCAACCACTCCACTCTTCTGATTTTTTGTACTTTTCCTAGTTCCTTAGTTGAGTTCAATTCACTTTCAATGAAATGAGGCTTGCAGCAACTACCTGAACAAGCTTACACAGAAGCTCCAAGTGTGTGATGTTTGTTTATGAGTGTGTGATTGTTTGGTGGGGGGATGATGGAAATCTATAAAGTTCATCAAGCAAAGGGACGTTCTGGTTTCTTGTACTTTTCCTGGTTCCTAGTTCAGTTCAATTCACTCTATCATTCTTCTAAGAGGTAGTAGGATGTTTGTGCATTTCTTTTACCAGGCCTTTTTGGTACTCTAAGATATGTCTCCATTGAGTGGTTGATTAGTGCTGCACGATGATGATGAGGATACGAGGAAGCAGAGGTTTGGTGTTACTAGACCACTGCGACCTTCTGGTTTTTTGTACTTTTCCTAGTTCCTTAGTTCAGTTCAATTGACTCGAACATTCTCTTAAGAAATACTCGGTCATTGACTGTCATTGCTACAATTCCTTTCCATGGGTTTTCTTTGTATCCAGGTTATGTATCCATTGAGGGGGTTGTTTTTCATTCGAAGATCGTATTGATTGTTTCGTCCTCCTCATTGGACAACCTACCAATGAATTCGTCATTGAACTGTCGTGTAGATGTTTTCTCAGTTGCCAGTGACAGGTAGTCATAATTCACCTGAGTTTTACCCTCTCTAGCTGTAGCAATGTTTGCCAGTTATGAGGGTTTTTTTAATATATGCTTTTACCACCTAAGTTTATCCAGCTTTCGTCTTTTTTGTATCCATTCTGAACTGTATGATTGTATGTTTGATTTTGTCATGCCATGAATTGATTCAAAGCATATGGTTTTTTAGATCGACCTCTGGCTGGTTTGTCAGCCTTTTCATTTCGCAAAACTCCTTTTTTTTGGTACTCAACTATCATAAGGTTGCTGCGTTTCCCCAGGTTTTGGTGATTTTGGAAGCATTCACTGATGGATGGATTTGACAAGGTCTGTCCTGAAGGACTGCTCAGTAAATTAAAACAGATGCTACCAAAGCAGTATTTAGTTCCTACCAAATTGGCATAAATTTTAGAGCAAAAGAAGAAGACCAATATTCAGAACTAAAGCAATAAATGCAGGAGTGCCACAAGGTAGCACACTAAGTCTAATACTTTACTTGTTATACACCAGTGATTTTCATCCAAAATCTTTCAAAAAAATTTGACAACACACAGTCTTTTGACAAGGTCTGGCATGAAGGACTGCTCACTAAATTAAACCAGATGCTACCAAAGCAGTATGTAGTTCCTACCCAACTGGCATATATTTTGGAGTAAAAGAAGAAGAACAATATTCAGAACTAAAACAATAAATGTAGGAGTGCCTCAAGGTAACACACTACGTCCAATACTTGTTATACACTTGTGATTTTCATCCAAAATCTTTCCAAAAAATTGACAACACACAGTCTTTTGACAAGGTCTGTCCTAAAGGACTGCTCACTGAGTAAAAACAGATGCTACGAAAGCTGTATTTAGTATCAGTTCTTTCCAAACTGACAGATATTTTATAGTAAAGGAGAAGACCAATACTCAGAACTAAAACAAAAAATATAGGAGACATCACAAGATAGCACACTAGGTCCTATACTTTACTTGTTATACACTTGTGATTTTCAAAATCTTTCAAAAACCTTGACATCTCACAGCCTTTTGGCAAGGTCTGTCTTGAAGGACTGCTAAATTAAAACAGATGCTGCCAAAGCAGTATGCCGTTCCTACCAAATTGGCATATATTTTAGAGTAAAAGAAGAAGACGAATATTCAGAACTAAAACAATAAATGCAGGAGTGCCACAAGGTAGCACACTGGGTCCCATGCTTTATTGTTATACACTTGTGATTTTTATCCAAAATTTTTCAAAAGCCTTAACGTTTCACAGGCATATGAACTAGTGTAATCAAGATTGAACCCTATCCATAATCTATAATTTAACTTCGTTATAAAAGCTGATTTTTCAGAATATATATTTTAACTATAGTATTGGAATAAATAGAAAAAAACGAAAGAAAAAAGTGTTTTATTTTCATAACATTTGTTTTAACCTTTAAGTAAAAAAATAAAATAAATTAGCTTTTTTATATAATTAAAAAAAAATTAAATAGTGATTTACTTTAATTATCCGGGATGGCCTCGTTAAGGGGTACCAGGGAGTATATCTGCGGTTCTGATTTCTTTTTCTTCTTCTCCTCATCGGTGAAAAGCCAACGGAGCTGCGGTATGACCAAGTCGCTGCTAAGCTCCGAAATCTCCTGTCGACCGGTGAGAAGGCTGACGATCATCGCGACCAGCAAACCAACAAGGAAACCTGGTGTAAATCGGGGGGAAATTTAATATATCATAAATATAAATAATTAATAAAAACACCTGCCTATAATACTGAAATAAAGGTACGATATTCTGTACAGCATCGGTAAGTCTTCATCAGCTTCTACGATCGAACCATAGCCAGGGTTTCCGAAGACAGTCTGGCTGGAATTTAAAAGAATATGAATTCAATAATATATACTCAGATGTTTTTGAGAGAAATTTACTTGAGATTTAGGTGTAAGGTAGAATTTTCGGGACAATTTATTATTGAAGTGACTTTTCCTGGGAATTTCAAATCACCTCTTAGTATCGCAAGCTGTGCTCCGATAGCTAGCCAAGATGTCGAAACGAATGCAGCTAAAGTCCCACAAATGGCGCCCTTTAAACAATAATTAAAACTATTAAGATTTATTAAAAATTTATGTTCGAATCTTCTACCTTGGAGTTCGCCCAAGGGATGAACATTCCGAGGGTAAAAAGGTATAAAGAAATGCCGGTCGTCACACCGTTCAGTGTGATTGCGACTTGCATGATCGGACCGAGCTTCTCGACGATGAAAACCATCGCTGTGCTTATACAGCCCAAAATGACGACAACAATCTTCATCACGAGATTGGAGGATTTTTCAGAAATCTCCCAAGGCAGGTGAGGCTTGATGAAATCTTCGAATAACGTCATAGCCACCGTGTTCAGCCCAGTGGACATTGTGCTGAGTGCCGTTGAGACTACGCCGGAAAGAAATAAACCGGAGAGGCCTGGGTAATCCCGAGCGACGTCCATAACGTAATATGGGAGTACTTGGCCAGCCTTTTGTATCTCCTTTAAAAAAATTTTACAAAATTTTAAAAAGATTAATTTTGTACAATTGGACAACTCTTTACCTTTGTTATAACTGGATCGCAGTCGTGGTATTTTGTATACATGATCAGCCCGACAAATGTCATTATAGACTTGACAAACACAAGACCAAAGCACATATAAACTGTAACACTAAAGGATTTTTTATTTCCAAATGAGGCATATTCAAATATTACTTAAATAATGCAATAATATAAAACTTGATTATATGAACAAGGCTAGCATTACAAATCAGATAAATAATTAATTATGCAATTATATTATCAGTAAAGCCATAAAACCACGGTAATTGTGGATTTTGTAGTGTTGGGGTAGATATTAAAAAAATTGTACGTGTAGATGTGTGGTTGTTTTTTCAAGTGTATCTGTGTAGTGGCTGGGCTTCTGGGCGAGTGTTTGAGCTTCTGTGCGGGTACCTGTTTGAGCATCTGGATGTGTGCCTGAGCTTCTGGATGTGGCTGAACTCCTGAGTGAGTATCCGACAGGCAAGTGGCTGGATTTCCAGGCATATGGTGTGTATGTTCGAACTTCTGGATGAGAAACTGGATTTTGTGAAAGAGTGGCTGGGCTTCCGGGCTGGCATGTGAGTTATGTATGCCTGTTTGACCTTCTGGATGAGGGTCTGATTTTCTGAGAAAGTATTAGGGCAAGTGGCTGGGCTTCTGAACTAGAATCTGAGCTATGTGTGTCTGTGCTTCTGGTTGAGGGATTGATTTGCTGAGAGAGTTCTGGCAAATGGCTAGGCTTCTGAGTGAGTGGCCGAGCTTCTGTGTGAGAACCTGGGCAAGTGGCTGGGCTAATGTCTGAGCTAAGCGTGTCTGTTCAAGCTTTTGGATGAGTCACTGATTTTGTGAGAGAGTATCTGGCAAGTGGCTAGGCTTCTGAGCGAGTGGCTGTGCTTCCGGGCTGGTGTCTGAGTTATGTATGTCTGTTCGAGCTTGTGGATGAGTGGTGGCTGAGCTTCTATGTGAGTGTATATGTTACAACTTCTGGATGAGTGTCTAAGCTACAGTGTGTGTGTATGTGTCTGTTTGAGCTTCTGGATTGGCTGCGCTTCTGGGCGATGTTTGAGTTTCTGTGTACGTATCCGTTAGAGCATGTGGGAATTATCTGAGCTTCTGGGCAAGTGGCTGAGGTTCTCTGTGAGTATCTGATTGAGGAATTAGTTTCCGTGCGAGTGTACAAGCTTCAATGTGAGTGCTTGTTTGAGCTTAAGTGTGAGTGGCTGTGCTTTGAGAGAAATGTTTGGCTTCTGTGAGTGTATTCGTTACAACTTCGGAACGAGTGTCTGAGCTACTATGTGTGTGTCTGTTTGAGCTTCTGTATATGTTTATGTTTGAATTTCTGGATGAGTGCCTGCGCTTCTGAAAGAGTGGCTGATCTCCTGAGCAAGTACTGGCTAGTGGCTTGGCTTCTGAGCAACTGGCTGAGCTTCCATGTGAGTATCTGGGCAAGTGGTTCAGCTTCTGGGCCACTGGCTGAGCTTCTGGGCGAGGGTTTAAGCTTCTGTGTGAGCACCTGGGCAAGTAGCTAGGCTTCTGAACTAGTGGCGTAGCTATGTCTGTCTGAGCTTCTGGATGAGTTGCTGATTTTCTGAGCTTCTGGGCGAGTAATTGAACTACTGGGCGAGAGTCTGAGCTTCTGTACGAGCATTTGTTTGAACTTCTGTGACTGGGTTGTTTGCGTAACTGTGCTTGTGATAAAAACTGATCTTTTTTCTTTTTTTTGTCTTCCTTAACGTATATTTCAATATTGAACGTTTGTGCAGTATTGTTATAAGTTATATAAAATCGCTGTGGGACATATACATAAGCTATAAAGCCACCAAATAATTTGTTGTCTATATTATAATATTTACAGCCTTGTATGGCGGAATGTCGGCAAAGCGGCAAAACGCTGATAAGTGCCGGGGTGTACTGCAAAAAATGCCATCCATGTGACGACCGAACCGAAAACCACAGCAGGAAACGTCGTCCTTTTAAACGGGTCGAAGTCCATGCTGAAAAAGAACAGCCTTTTTTTAAACCGTTTAAGTTCAATGAGGTGAAAGGTGTGAACTTTCTGAATGTTCTACTTTAAAAGCTCCAGCCTTTCGCCTTCGACGCTCTTGTTGTAGACGTTGGCGACGCCTCCGACGCTGATCAATCCGAGGACGGCCACGGCGAGGACGGACGCGAGGGTGAACATGCTCTGCAGGGCGTCCGACCACACGACGGCTTTCAATCCGCCCTAAAATTTAAAAACAATTTAAAAAATCCAATGGAAATTCTACAAAAAGTATCATCATATCATACCAACGATGTGTAAAATATGCAGACTGCACATATTATAGGTGCAAGCACGTACATCGACATTCCCGTAACTGAAACATATTTGCTTCATTTATAAGATTCATCATTATCTTTATAACTGAAAAAAATCAACAACAACAAAAAATCAACCAACCTTGGTTAAAAGCAAGAGAAGGCACGTATATAACAACTGGTATGTACAAAAACTAAAAAAATAACATTCAAATTAACTATTTATATAAAAAATAATAATAATTCACATACCAAAGAGAGTGTATACATCAGAGAACCCAAGGATCTGACAGTATGATTGAACCTCCTTTCTAAGTACTGAAAAGACAGAAAAATTAAAATGATATGTCGTGCAAGAGTAGGACTTTAAGATCAACTCGCTCGAAAATGGGTTTTACCTCGAAGATAGAAGTCGATTCCAGTTTGTAAATCACCGGCAGGTAAAATATATTGAGAAGTACAGCGGCAATCACTATCGCGACGTTGATGGCGTAAAGCTGCGTCCCGTAAACGTACGTCTCGGACGGTATGCCAAGAAGCGTTATCCCCGATATAAAACTGATTATAAAACATTTGATGTTAATTAATCTATTATTAGGCCTGAATCATGGTTATGTAACCTAACCCTAACTCTATCCCTGCCTAAGCTGTTAAGCTAGTTCTAACCCTAATCCTATCTAACCTAACACAATCCATGTGCACTTCCCGGTAATTCCAAACATGGAAACGAAAAAGTTATTAGTCATTAAGTGACTTAGTCTTTACCTAATCATGACTAACCTAATCCATCCCATACGCGTATCCTGGCCACGCAAAAGTTTTGTTTCCAGGGCAAAAACATATCAACGTTAAAATTCATGCGGGTCACGAATTACATATTTAGGTTTCTCTCAGTTTAGGTCAGTTCAATGAAATATTTTGTTTATTTACTAGCCCTTACCTTAGCTTAACTTAACTCTTCCCTAACCTTGGCTAGCCTACTTAACCTAACCCAACCCAGTGCACTTCCCCGTAATTCAAAAATGGGAACGAAAAAAGTTTGTGTACCTAGCTCAAAAACATAACCATGCTAATATTCTTGTAGGAGTCATTAGTTATTTAGGATTCTATCAGTTCAATAAAACATTTCGGTTATTTAATAATCCTAATCTAACACTTCCCCAACCCTGACTACCTAGTCCTAACATAATCTTCCCTAGCCTAACCCAGCCATGCGCACTTCCCGGTAACCTACAAATGGTCACGCAAAAAATTTATTTATCCTGAGTAAAAACAAATCCACGTTAAAATTCATGCACGGGTCATGAATTACATATTTAGGTTTCTCTCGGTTTAGGTCATTTCAATAAAATGTTTTGTTTATTTAATAGTTCTAACCCTAACTTAACTTAACCTTTTCCTAACACTGCCTAGCCTAGTCCTAACCCTAGCCCTATATAACCTAACCCAACCATGTGCACTTCCCGGTAACGCAAAAACCGTCACGCAAAACAATTTCCGTACCGAGCTCAAAAACATATTCATATTACAATTCTTGTATAAGACGTTAATTATTTATGTTTCTTTCGGTTTAGATACGTTAAATGAGAGATTTTGGTTATTTACCAGCATCCTAACGCTAACATAACCTAGCTAAACCCGTCACTAACCATAACTTCAGTCTTGCCTAAGTTAGTCCTAACCCTCATCCTTCCTAACCTATCCCAACTCATGAGCACTTCTCGGTAACGCAAAAATCTTCACGCAAAACAATTTACCTCTCGAGCTCAAAAACATATCCATACTACAATTCTTGTATAAGTCGTTAATTATTTAAGTTATTTCGCTTTAGATACGTTAAATGAGAGATTTTGGTTATTTACCAGTATCCTAACGCTAACATAACCTAGCTAAACGTCCCTACTCATAACTTCAGTCTTGCCTAAGTTAGTCCTAATCCTCATCCTTCCTAACCTATCCCAACTCATGAGCACTTCCCGGTAACGCAAAAATCGTCACGCAAAACAATTTACCTCTCGAGCTCAAAAACATATCCATACTACAATTCTTGTCTAATATTGGGTTGTCCGGAAAATAATGCAGGATTTTGGTATTAGACAAAAAAAAAGAAACTAGTTACTTTAAAGCAATGTTCTTTAATCAAAATAATTTCCCATACTCTCAATACATTTCTCCCAACGTGTTGGTAACTTATTAATNTGTTGACATTCATACAAATGAGTAATCCTGTAAACGTAAACAGAATATTTTATATAGATTTTTTTTAATGAAAACTTAAAATCCTGCATTATTTTCCGGACAACCCGATAAGTCGTTAATTATTTAGGTGTCTTTCGGTTTAAGTCAGTGAGATTTGTTTATCTACCAGTATCCTAACCCTAACATAATCTAGTCAAACCCGTCCGCAACCATAACTCCAGTTTTGCCTAAGTTAGACCTAACTTTCATCCTTCCTAACCTAACCCAACTCATCGTCACGTAAAACTATTTGCGTATAGAGCTCAAAAACATATTCTTACTACAATTCTTTTACAAGTCGTTAATTATTGAGGTTGCTCTCGGTTTAGGTCAGTTAAATGAGAGATTTGTCATTCATTAGTAATCTAACCATAACATAGGCCAAACCCGTTTCTAACCATGACTCCAGTCCTACCTATGCTAGTCCTAACCCTCATCCATCCTAACCTAACCCAACTCGTGCGCACATCCCGCTAAAGCAGAAATAGCCATGCAAAACGATTTGTATTCGTCCAAAACAAATTCTTGTAAAGGACATCAATTATTTAAGTTTCTCTCGGTTCATGTCAAATCAATGATTTTTTTTTTTTAATAATTTGTTATTTTAGAGTAGTAGAGCTCTTGTGTGTTTTGTAAATAGACAGAAAATAATTATAATATTTCATTAAACTGAATAGACATGTTCAACCGACCTCGCTATGAGAGACATCGCAATTGGAAAGATCGGCATCCGCTTGCCACCGAGCATGTACTCGGCGACCGTGTCTTGGCCACTCTTGATACAACCGTAGTAGATGCCGATGAGCACCGAGGCTCCGAGCATGCCGAAGAAGACGACATACTCGAACCATCCGAAGACGAGGATGTCACTTATGCTCCCGGCCATAACTGAAAAGGGCCGAGAGGACGGGAGCCGGACCGAAAACAATTTCACCATAAATCAAAGATAAGACGGCAATCCGTGTTCAAACAGTGGAACCGGCCGATACATCCCAGGGTCACTCTCCTAGACAAATTTACATCCTTTATCTCAAACCTTAGGTTGATTTTTGTTGAATAAGCTCTTTTGACTGCGAGACAATTAAAACTTTAACGGAAATGAATGCTGCACATGACACACACGTCCGAACGAGGTGGCTAGGTCCTAAGCCGTCTCAAGCCCCGGCACTCTGACGCTAAAACTGCAATAAAAATATGATTTTAAAAAAGTGGAAGCGTTAGTGGGCCGAGAAACTTTCATCTATGAAGAGCACGGTAAATAGATGGCCCTCAGAGGATCTGAACCGTAATATTAATCCTAACCCGATTAAGAATAGGACATGTTGGGCAAACAGTCACTTTTGGGTCAAAGCCCGTGTCCAACGTGTAGAGAAAGGTTACTCGATGTGCACTTCTTTAGGTCCATGCCATTATGATGATCTATAATAGGAAGTAGGGTTTTTGTTCCAAAAGTCTTTTGGCTTAGTTCAATCGATTCTATCCTTCTCTTCAGAAACCATTGGTGCAATAATTTTTTACAGGTATCGTTGACACCCTAGGATATGTCTCCATTGAGCAGTTGCTTAATGCTCTCGATGATGATGAGGCAAATGAGGTCAGCATTGAATTGTTGTGTGGATGTTTTTTCAGATGCCAGTGACCATTAGTCCTATGACTCTGAGTTTAGACCTCACTAACTATAGCAGTGAGTTTGCCAATTTTGGCGAAGATTGTTTTAGCATAAGTTTACTATGTTCTAAAGTCCATCTTTTGTCTTTTTTTTATCCATTCTATGAAGGTGAATTCCGTTTTTGGTTTTCTTCTGTACTCTTTATCTGCTTTTTCATTACCCAGAACTTCTTTTGTGTCCTGGTACCCAAGATATCATCATCAGGTTCTTGTGTTTCCCCAGGTTTTGGAGATTTTGCTTTTCACTGGCTAATTTTGATGCTGGCGCTTTAATGCCTGGGTATCCGACTAAGAGAATTTTTTTGCCAGTGTTGACATTTCAGCTTGAAAAACCTTGTTGTACTTCCCTGGTGAATTTGATTGGTCATATTCTGGGCTTGTACAGAAAACGCCTGATCCTGCTTTTGTTTGGAGCTATCTGTATTCTAAATCTGATTTCTTCTTCTCCGTTATAGTCTGCTGAGGCTTTATAGTATGTTTTAGAGGAAACAGGGCTTTTTTGTTGTACAAACTGAGAATTGAGAATGAATGCATTTATTAGCGTGAATGGATGGTGGGATATTGAGCACTCTATTAACCATTAATTAGATAAGTATCTGTGCTCAAAGTGTCCAAGAGTTTATAAAATCTCTTTATTCGTATCTTAGGAGGAACATACTAAGGAAGAGAAACACAATAAATGAATATATATTTATTCAATAAATACATCTAGGAGGAAAAAAGAAAATCACAGACACACAAGCGACAGGTTCTCGGTATAAAGCGAGGGCAACGTATATTTAACTATGTCAAATATTAGAATTATAGGCCTTAAAAGCTAAGCTTTTGAAAGGAATTTTCCAGCCAAAAAATAACACTGTATTTTGGGTAGATGGTGTTCACTGTATTATCGATATGGTATTACACAATGAAATACCTTCGATTTGCACTTTTTTTTTTTAATATAAACTATCTCACTTTATAACATTTTTGCGTTTATTTACACAAAAATCTTTCCTAAACAAAACCTAACCTATATAAATTATTTGAGGTTGTTTCTATATTTTTTCGTGTAAAGAAGAAAATAATTAAAAATTATTACATCAATTAAGAACTTTGATTAATATTTTAAGTTTAAAAGAAAAAAACTTTAAATAATTAAAATTTTAAAAAATCACAGTAATAATTATCTATATATTTTATGTGTTATTTAACAACCTCAAATAAAAATTGAACAATTTTTTTACAACAAACCCTCCTTTTTATCACATATTGAAAAAATTAATTAAATATATATAATTACATTTCCAATAAATATATAATCTGATTTTTTTTTTCAAATTACATGTAAAGCCGTTTAATTGATATGCTAGAGTTACACATTTTTGGCCATTCTTATTGTCAGAAATTTAATTAAAAGGGCTTAAAAACTAATAAATTACATATGTTTTTGTAACATTTGTTTATTTATCTTTTCCGTTTAAAATACAATAGTTCTTTTGTTTTAAAATATACATATTTTATATTGTTTTTATAATCTATATATATACTTCTTTTAGATACCCTCATTTTTTCAATTTTCTTTAAAGAAAAAAGGAAACACATGAACACACTAGGAACTAGTTAGGAAAACGGGAAAAAAATGAACACGCCTAAAAATTTGGTCTAATATTTTTAAGTATACGGTACAAGGGTAACTAGATAATACCTAAAGATCATGAAAACCATGGGTTTTTTAATATTTTTAAGTTCAAAGCGGGCCTAAAGGTTGAAAAGTCTTATTTAAAAATTTACTGTGCCATCTAGGAAATGCAAGTGCACAGATAGAAATTTTATTTTCTAGAAAGATTTCGAGTATTTACAGGCTTTTGAACCCTCATAGGAATAAATATATGATTGTACAGGGTGATTCGATACGAGATGATAACAAAATTTGGGCGATAGTATGTTCATTGCAGAATCTATTGTGCCCAAATTTATTTGAGAGATTTGAAACAACTAAGCATTTGACGCCAACCTGGTGAAACAACGCCAAAAATTAAAGATTAAGTTAAACGGATGAAAACAGCTCAAGTGTTTTAAAGATGATTGATAGTTGTTCTTTTATTGAGAAAAGAATTGACTTTGCCTCCTGCAACAGCAAAAGTTTATCATGTGAATGGAGTCCAAAATCTGGGAGAATTTGTCTAATTTTGTAACAATTTTGCTTCTAATAGTGAACCACCCTGTTTGTAATTAGTTTTACAAATAATTAATTAACTTAGGATTTTAAAATGTTAATCAAAGGTTAATTTTACTAAAAAATTATAGTTTTTATGTTTATTTTAAAAAATAAACTATTTCTTCTATGTTAACATCTTTCTTTTTTTTCTTTTTTTTTAATTTAATCTATAAAAATAATAAAACTGAGATTTTATTAACATACACTTCATACTATTTTACATTCGATTCTACATCCGCTCAACTTATTCCATCACAGAACGGTTTTTGAAATTAAAAAAAATATATATATATTGGATATATATCAAGTACTCAAAATTAAAATTTAAGTTTGGTCAACTTAAACTTGATGGGGGAGAATATCAAAATATCGTGCTATAAAAAGTCTTCGGTTATCATTAATTTACTCACGTCCTGTTTTAACAATTAATTATATTTTTCTCCGACATATAATCATTATAAGTGACGTTTCTTTTTTTTTTTAATACTCTTCCTAATCAAATTCAGAGAATTCAATAAAATTGACTTCTGTAAGGTCCCAATTTGTTTTTTTTTGTTTTTTTTTAATACATAGCATTTTTCTAGCAGATTTCAATCTATTTTAGTTAATAAAGTGTGATTTTTTCTCTTTTTCTATTAATAAAGTATATTTTATTAAAATTATTCAGTAATTAAAAAGAAAAATCCACTGAGATTGTCGGGATTAAGTCAAAAAGAAAAATCTATGAAAATGCTAAAATCAGTCTTGTTTCATTTAAAAAAAAAAATAATAATAATAACTTTTTTTTTAAATTAAAATTGGAAGAAAAAGCTCAATTTGTGCGGTTCTGGTAACAGTATGACATATAATGGCCGTGGGAGCAGCGATCGACAGTCGAGAATGTCGTTATGATCGTCGCGAAGCCGAGGACGGCGACGAGAAGTCCGAAGAGGGCGAGGGCAAGAGCCGGCAGCTTACGTTTTGACAGTATCGAACCTTCTTCGAGCTTTAGGTAGCTTACAGCGGGCAGAATGAACGCAAGAGGAACAGCCGAAATGACACCCTGTATATTTCACACACACACACAAAAAAAAAAAAAAAAAAGATTAAAAAGTTAGATATCCAAGTGTTTTATACGTACATTGAGCTCCAATACGACACCCAAGCAGTCGGTCGAAATAGAAATCAGGTATGTCGTAGCTACTATTGCGATTGTTGAGAAGAAATGCGATACAGGACGCCAGGCTTGAGTTATCACCGCTCTTGTGACCAAACACTCTGGAAAAAATTTTAGATTCTTCAATCCTTCGTTAACTCCAAAGGGAAGACATAGTTTAGACACCCTTTATACTGCAACTCTCATTTTATTTATGTCCATATGCCATGGAACCAGGTGTTCCCAACTATTGCCAGGATGTAAATTAAATATTGTGAAATGCCCCAGTTGGACTAAACTCCTACGTTATGCAAGTCCTACCAACCAGGTCTTTCACATCACGCTTCAACGCGGCCCTTGTGGGGTTTTGCGGAGGTGCGAGGCACTTCCTCCATGCTCTGGAGTAGTATGATATCCCAAAGCTTACATGGGTGACGAGAGGAATACCAGGCTCAATTCTGAACTCTAGACCAATATCCAAATGAGCAAGGGATAATTACGGGAGCTTTTGAAAAACCTTAAGCTTAATGAAGTTAAGTTAAATTAAGGCCAAAGAGAGGAGGGTAAAGAGATCGATTCCTTTTAACCTTTAACCTTTAAATTTGACACCATCGCAATCCTTCTTTGAGAATAGAGAATGCCTGCTGGGGAGGTCTTCCTTGATGTCGATGTCAAGTCTGGCACAAGGGCATACTAGCCTCCACAAGACATACCTCAGGGTAGCATCCTCGGTCCATTATTATTCAATGAATATAGTGCTGATATTCCTTCCCATTCAAATATCATTCCTAACATGCTTACAATACTACCATTTACTACCATCAATTTGGATTTAGGCGTCACCGTTCAACTGTTCAATAGTACCATCTGTTTCGACATCATTGCATCTTCTTTTGAGAGGGAGGAATGCTATTCAAGGTCTTCCTTAATGTCGAACAGGCTTTAAATCTAGTCTGGCATCTAGATTTCCCACTTCCTCATTTTTCACCTGGCCTACAAGCACTTTTGAGTATGGGTCGGATCCTCTCTCCTCTGTAAAGGCAGGCACGATCGTCCCTCAAGGTTCTCTATTTGTTATTATACACAGTATACACTGCTGATGCCCAATCCCATCCTCGCATTATCCAACATAAGCTGATGATACTGCCATCATAACCTTAACTCCAACCCCATTCGCTTTAAGGTTATGCACTTTCTCTCTCTGTGATCTATGTAACTTGTTGATGTGTGTAACTTGGTAATGCTCAATAAAAAAGACTTATATCAAGTAATCTGAATTAAATTCCTCACCGATGGGGAATGTGAAGAGTATGGTGAGCGAGAATGCAATTCGTGCTACGTTCATTAGGTCATCGTCCCAGCAGTAGTTTTCAAGTAAGTCGCCTGAAAAATAAATTATTTATTTTTAAAAAATTCCATGTTTGTTTCTCCGTCAGGCCATACCCTGTGAGTATCCTGTAAATGTAGCATAGCCAGCGATGCCAAAAAGTGATGCGATCATGAACGATACGAACACCGAGTAATGAGTCACCTTGTCCCATTTCGCCTGGTCGGGCTCCTCGATCGAACCATACAGGAGGAATACGTTGTGGTGGCACATGAATGCGAATGCCATGATCCCGATCGCAGGGATGATGCCCCAGTTGTACACCTGCCAAGAATCCCGGGTCGAAGGTCTGCAAGAAAATTTAATAATAAAAATAATTGTTTATCTTTTAAAAAACAAAACCAGTTGAAGATGTAATGAAATGAGAAGAAAAGTACACACAAGTGGTGTCAAGCTCTTAGTGGTTTCAATGAACTTAAAAAAAAATAGCTCCAGGTGAATAAGTAGAACCTTGCGTTAAGTATTACCAAGTCCTTTTAGTTTTTGGTACATGGCTACCTGCTAATGAGTCTGAGAAATTTATAATACAAGAGCCTGCATTAAGTCATAAGACCTGAGTAGCAGAACTAACATGTTAGAAAGTGCTCAGAAAAAAATTGTAATGAGGACAGGAAGCAGAAAATATCACCAAAAAAAACTTTCTGGAAACTCTGCTTGAATCTGGCTCAGATACTGTACTGGTTCGTCATACCTCAATCAGAAATCTTTTGTAATGTTGATCGATGATTTCTTGGCTGAACAACAAACCTGGAGTCAAGGACCTTGAAAGACATACGGGAATTTATACTATCTGCAGATAATAAATAATAGAAAAGAAGAAACAGCCTTGTAAACGCATTTTGAAAACCGAACTGACACTGGATTGACAAGAGAGTCAATAGCCCAAGTCATTTTAAACTAGCCAGTTCACAACTTGCTCTCTGAAGAAAAAAAGCTTAAGACCTGTTGACAATGCTATCTGAAGAAACACAAGAACGATGTCAGAAGACAGCGAAAGTATAGAAGTACATAATGCAGAATCTGTAGGGAAGAATTACATATATCTTCAGACTCTACGAAATAGAAGCATGAAACGTTACAAAACCAAATCAGAAGGTAAACCTGGCAGTACGGGGAGGATTTGTAGGCCAAGAGTATGGCAGTAGACATTGATAAACGCGATTTCGAACTCATTCCATTGAACGGTTACTGCATGACGATGAGGATACTGGGAAGCAGGAGTTTAGTATTTCTCAAGGACTTTTGGCTTATTGTACTTTCCCTAGTTCCTTAGTTCAATTCAATTGACTCAATCCTTCATTTAAGAAGTAGTAGGTCCTTGACTGACATTGCAATTCTTTTTCCCGGGTCTTGTTGGTAATCAGATGGCACTGGTGGCAGTTTCTTCTTCTTCTTCATTGCATAACCTACAAATGGGGACATCATTGAACCCATGTTGTGTAGGTGTTTTCTCAGATGCCAATGACCGGTAGCTCTATGACCTGAGCTCTATGCTGTACAATGCGGTAGCAACTGTTTTGACCATAGTTCTTTTTCTGCATCTGAAACTTCTCCTTGTGGTTTTTTGTGTCCCATTCTGATTTGGAGGAGTCCATTTGTCTTTGTCATCAAAAGTATAGGTTCCTTTGATCTTGCAGATCTGTCTTTTTTTTCATTACCCACATTCATTGTGTCCTGACACCCAAGATATTGACAGGTCATTAGGTTTCCCTAGGTTTTAGCGGATTTGGATACATTTTAGATGTGAATGCTTTTATGACTGCTTGGATAATTGATTTAATGAGGATTCTTTTTTAGTGTAACCTTTTTTAAGATATTCTATGATACACAATTAATAGCATGTAAAACAGAGGTGTTCTTCCCTAATGAGTTTGATTACGAATATTTTTGGCTTGCACTTATCTTTTGGTTTTGAACCTCAAACCAATCAACACATCAACAATCAATCATAGACAACTAGATTAAAAGAAACAATATGAAATAGAATTTTTTTCCCTTGTGATAGCTTGACCTCATTTTTGGCCTTCTTATACCAACAGCTCGATTTTTGCCAAAGAGGAAATTTTCCAACTGATATAATCATTCAACTATTAACAGATAAGAAAAACAAATTCAGAACTTTAAAAAAATCAAATTCAAAGCAAAATATCAAAACATAAACATGCAATTAAAAAAAAATGACTAGATAATTTTATTTTATAATTAACACCAATTATAGCTTACAAATTCCTTTACGCCACTCGCCTAATCAAACCAGGGTAGACTATCGGGAGAATAATCTTTCAAGCATAACATCAATTAAAGCCGAGTAAGATACGATAAGACTCCTATTTGTGTTGATAGCTGGCAGATTTTTTTTTTTTTTTGTCTAATTCATTTCTTTTAGTAAATATTATTATATGCAGCCAGAGGAAAGGATGAATAACTGAAACGTTTTAATTATTGAAAGAAATTGACTTACATGTATGGAGCGAGGGATATGAATCTTGAGAAAATGGCTCCTAAAATGAAAATAATGAAGACGAGAGAAAGGAAGGAAGCTTTGGCCAGTTTTGCCATGTCTTTGAGCAGGCAGAGTGGTATGGTGACGAATATGGTGGCCATTGCGACAACGTAGTCCCTCCTGGCGAAGATGGATCTGGGCGGAAGGGAGAAGACCCGGATGAGGACCTTGGTGACTGTGTCGCCGACGACTACATTATAGCTGACCATTGCTGCACATATCATTTTTTTTAAAAGCCTTCTTTTTTTCTTTTTTTTAATTGAATACTTTACCTATAAAAGGATAGACAAACTGAAGAAAGGTGAGAAGGTAAAATCCAGGCCGGCCGAACGCTGCTTCCATGAGACCCTGATAGGAAAACGAACCGCTGATATGGGCCGATCTCACCATAAGCACGAGGGAATAATCGGTGACCAGGGCGACCAGGGCAAGAAGGAACAAGCCCATGACAAACCCAGCTTGGTGTAAAGCAAAAGCGATACCTGGATAGACAAAAATTTGTTTGGATAATTTTCCTTACTTATAATATTGAAGATAAGGTGAATTCGTGTAAATTAAGTATTAGGATTTAAATAAAATAATTAAATTCCACTACCAATTATTGTTTCGAATTTATAAAATGTTTGTTTTGTGCAGTTTGTCGTGATTTAAGCATTGGTGGGCGGTATGTTGAAGCTTACCGATGACGCCCGAACCGACGATTGAGTTGATGTAGTTAAAACTGGCGAATCCGAGCCCAGTAGTCGCGCCCTTTCTTTCCTAAAACAAAACATACAAAAAACATATTTTAGATCTATTTTGTACTTCTAATAAGCAAAAATTAACTTACCTCGAATATATTTTCTGTGTCGTCATTCTCTCCTAGGCCGTCAATCACCTGAAGTTAAGAAAATTAGCATGTTGTAAATGTGATTACATTGGCGTAAAAAACCTATCCCTGTTAGATTGCCATGGCCGGAAATGTTGCAAAAACCATAGCTTTATTTACAAAATGACTTTTTCAGGCTAACACAACAAGAAAAAGAGTTTATTACCGTGATATTTTCGGACAAAATTCCTATTGTTGCTACCTACCAGATAGCCAAGGGTAAAAATATTTAAAATAAAAAGATTTTTATCTAAAAAATTGCTTTCTAAAAGTAAAAAATGAGGCTATTCCCGTGATATTTTTGGCTAAAATTACCTATTTTGACTACCGAACAGGTTACCAAGGCTGGTGACGTTAGAAAAAACATGTTTTTATCAAAAAAAAAGGCTTTCTAAAGTTAAAAAGGCAAAAGAAAAGCACTATTAACTGGATACGTTGTGATAAAATTCCTATTTTTGCTACCTGCCAGATAGCCAAGGCAAAAAATGTTCAAAAAAATATATTTTTATCTAAAAAATTGCTTTCTAACGCTAAAAAAGAGGCTACTCCCGTGATATTTTGTAATAAAATTAGTTATTTTTTCTGCCTATCAGATTACCAAGCTGGAAATTTTCGAAAAAACAGGGCTTTATCCAAAAAAAAGGCTTTCTAAAGCTAAAAAAGAAGCTATTCCCGTGATATTTTAGAATAAAATTAGTCATTTTTTCTGCCTATCAGATTACCAAGCTGGAAATGTTCGAAAAACAGGGGTTTATCCAAAAAAGGCTTTCTAAAGTTAAAAAGACAAAAAAAGCACTATTACCTTGATCTTTTGGGGGAAAAATTCCTATTTTTTGATAATTGCCAGATAGCCAAGGCTAAAAATATTTTTTTTAAATAGATTTTTATCTAAATAATTGCTTTCTAATGCTAAAAAAGATGTTATTACTGTGACCCTTTGTGATAAAATTCCTATTTTTGCTACCTATAAGATTACCAAGGCTGGAAATGTATGAAAAAACGGGGTTTTATCTCAAAAAAGGTTTTCTCCAGCTAAAAAGACGAAAAAAGCACCTATTACCTTGATACATTGGGATAAAATTACTTATTTTTACTACCTGTCAAATCGCCAAGGATAAAAATATTTGTAAAAAATAGATTTTTATCTAAAAAATTGCTTTCTAATGCTAAAAAAGAGATTATAATCGTGATACTTTGGGATAAAATTGCCAGTTTTTACTACCATGAGATTACCAAGGCTGGAAATGTACGAAAAGCAGAGTTTTACCTAAAAAAAGGTTTTCTCCAGCTAAAAGTACGAAAAAAGCACCTAATACCTTGATACTTTGGGATAAAATTACCTATTTTTACTACCTGTCAGATAGCTAGACTAAAAATATTTGTAAAAAATTCTTTAAAAAAAAAAAACAGTTTTTTCTCAAACAATTAATTTGTCATGCTAAAAAGACAAGAAAAAAAAACGCTATTACCTTTATATTTTGGGATAAAATTGCCTGCTTTTACTACCTATGAGATTACCAAGGCCGGAAATGTACAAAAAAACAGGGTTTTACCTAAAAAAAGCTTTTCTCCAGCTAAAAAGACGAAAAAAGCACCTTTACCTTGATATTTTGGGATAAAATTGCCTATTTTGCTACCTGTCAGATAGCCAAGACTAAAAATATTCGATAAAAAAAAAGACAGGAAAAGAAGCCACTTCCTTGAAATTTGTAGAACAATTACCTATGTACCAAAACCTATTTGGTAAAAATAGAATCACTGAAATAAAAAGTGTTTTATGCGGAAAATTAGATACAGAAGGTTAAACAAGTTCAAAAGACTTGCGGGGCTTAAATTAACGTTGGAAAATTTCCTTTTCTGATTAAAAACCAGTCCCAGGAGTCGGAAATCCGCCCTATCCCTCATTTATATACAGGGTGCGGCTGATGAAAAATGACGTGGGCGGCGTGAGGGCGGAGGCGGGTCAAGGCCCGTCGGAGCTTTTGCGAATCGTCCGGGTCCGAGTATAAAATCAACCCCCGCGGAAAGTTCATCTCTTAACGACCCGCGATACCCCTTAAAAATACCACAATATGTATTTCCTCGGGGATTTAGCATATTTGCCTTTTAGGAAAAAGTTCGGTACGGGTATAATTTGGCAATCTCAACCCTCTAAATTTCGAATATCGGCTAAAAACCTACAGCAATGTAAAAGAAAGTAAAGAGTCATTTCATTAGTTCGTCGGTCTCGCCTCCGGAATAATTAAACAAATTTTGGAGATGATTAAATTTCTGGTTCATCTCGAGTTATAGGTACATCTAGCTAAATCTGAGTCTTGCATAACTTTAATATTATTTGATTTTTTTATGGCCTTGTGTTATGGGATGCCCACACTATGGGATCCCTTTCATAAAACTAGATATTTGCTCACTCATTCACACGTCTAAATTTCCGGCTGATTTAATAAGATTATATGACTTTTAATAAATCAATAACTTCTATTAGGTTTCGTGGTCCGATTGACCAAATAAATTATTTTCAATTAATTATTTTTTAATTAAGGTTTTGGTTGAGATAAAAAAGTCAGTGTCACGAGCGGGATTCGAACCCACGACCTTCGAAATTCAAAAGGTGGGGTTCAAAAGGGAAGTTAGTGTCCGAGTGGATCGAAGTCACGATAGCTCAAGTGGTAGAGCAGCTGCGTATCTAGCCGAAGGTCGTGGGTTCGAATCCCGCTCGTGACACTGACTTTTTATCTCAACCAAAACCTTAATTAAAGATTAATTAATTGAAATAAATCAATAAATTGATAGATACATTTAAATAGAACAAATAAGCAGCTTCTTATAATAAATAAGCAATAAATCGTTTAAAAAATACATAATCAATAAAATAATTAACAAATAAATAATCAATACATTAATTAACAATTAAATTAATTAACAAATAAATCGAATTTTATCTAATTGCAGTCTTGAAATGTTATCCCATAGCTATATATAAATTCTACTAGGAGCCGGTATATTTGGTCATTTTTTGGAAAAGTAAGGATGTGAAGTTTATTGGATTGGCAATACTCTTCATTAAGTACAAGTCGTCTTCTCTCTTCAGAATATTTCTTAAAGTTCGTAATAATATGTTCCATATCTTCTTCAATCTGGCATGTTCCTTTGTTGGCCTGCTACTTTGATACCAAAATTGTCTAAGTTCTTGAACTGGCAGGCCGTTAAATGATCAATTTATATAAACGACCCCCCTTAGGGTTGGCAGGCGATCATCGGCGCAACTTCGTTAATTCGCCAACTTACATCGGATGTTATCCTCTCGGGACGGTATCCGAAATGGAAACGTCAACACAGCTCGCCGGATGCGAGGGGGCGATTCGATTATGCCGGATCGCGTGTCTGGTTGCCTTTTAAGGTGATTCACCTGTCAGTTTGACATCGAATTACTGGTGTGGAAAAACAAAATTGAACACAACCTTCTTCCCCCCCCCCGTTAAGTTTGGTGGAATAAAAAACCCCAAAGGGGCCTATTTTAAAAGGGTTTCTACACCCACCCTCTCCCGGCAAATTTAAGAGATTGGGGATAATTGGTGTACACAGGGAATGCTTTTTAAAAGCTCTTCATCGATCGTTCTAGGGCCATTCGGTGCGATTCGATAATTGGACGGAAATTGTATGAAAAACCATTACGGCATTGAATTAGAAAGTTTATGCTAAATAGCATTCATACAAATTTTAATCGAATCCATTTTTTCCCCATTTCGGGAAAGGTTCAAACACAATTATTGATAATGTTTGACTGCGGCAAAATAAAAATACTCCTAAGATAACCGCAGAGAAATAATTCAATAAAGGAATGTTTCAAAAAAGTGAGAAGATGGAATGTTTCATAATGTAAAACTGTTTGCTATTGGATTTCCACGTTTTCGAGCGATATTTTACTTTTTGAGGATATATAATACTTAAATATCGATGCCTGTGGGTTATTTCTGCATTCTATCTACTGCCCCTAATTTTCGATAGTAAAATTTCTAGATTTTGTGTCTATTTTCATTAATATAGAATGTTTCGATTCATTTACTATTAAACAACACCAACAAGACACCGATTTTTTGATGCTCATTTTCGATAATTTCAAACCTCACCAACAAAACATCGATGTTTTGTTGCTCATTTTCGATAATTTCAAACCTCATCAACAAAACATCGATCTCTTGTTGCTCATTTTCGATTATTTCAAATCTCACTAACAAAACATCGTTTTTTGTTGCTCATTTTCGATAGTTTGAAACCTCACCAACAAAACATTGATCCCTTGTTGCTCATTTTCAATTGTTTCGAACCTCAACAACAAAACATCGATCTCTTGGTGCTCATTTTCGAAAATTTCAACCTTAACCAACAAAACATCCATTTTTTGTTGCTCATTTTCGATAATTTCAACCTCATCAACAAAACATCGATCTCTTGTTGCTCATTTTCGATTATTTCAAATCCCACTAACAAAACATAGATCTTTTGTTGCTCATGTTCGATAGTTTCATACTATCAATAGTTAAAAGTAATGGTTTTTGTTGGCTGTTCGATAGTACCCATACATCGACCTTATCATAGTGGATTTTTTTTGCATTTATATGCTTAATGTTTTTCTATAAGGTTTATATAATGTTCGTATATTTTTACGACTTAACATGAAAGTTTTCCTTATTCACGACTTTAAAATGAATTACTGTGCATTAAACCAGGTTTATTGAGAGGACGCCAATATAAATGGCATGAGTTCTAACAAAACCGGACCCACCGAAAGACTGCGAATAGGTCGAGTTGGTGTAACCATGTCTTCATCAAAACGATTGATCTTCCGGCCCGACCGGGTTAATTATTTCTGTGAATAGGCCGGCGTTGAAATGTTGGAAAATGAAAAGCGAGAATGCAGTGGCCGGGTAGAAATTTCCAATATCCCGTCCGTTCCCCAGGGGTTAAAAGGAATGCAAAAATTACTCGCGATATCATTTTTCCCTTTT